CTACAGAGTCTATGTTCATGAACCCTCCATCATCCTGCATACCCTGTGGCCAAAGTAAGAACAGAGTCTCCAGCTTACACAACTAAAATCCCTGCTAAATGATAAGTAGATGCTATAATTTAGCTGTATCTCTAAAATAATAAATTAAACAAATGTCAATCTCCCGCATTATGTCTTGAAATGATTAGAAACACCTGGTAATACTTCTTTTTTTATTTTTGCAAAAGTACTATGATCTTTTAAAGCTATGCGTCTTCACCGTGTCCATTAATTTCTCCGTGCCCATATGACCCTGTGACCCTTTGAGGGAAGTAGAAGCTTAACTGTGCAGACGTTAGAGTTCCACAGCAAGGGATCAAGTTCCACTTCTGCTATACATTAGCTAGATAACTTAGAGCAATGACTTGACCTTTCTTAACCTTGGTTTTCTCATGTTTAATGTGGTACGAAAACAGTATGTATGTCATAGGATTACATTAACCAATCAATTTAGGAGCATTTAGTTTAATGACTGCTGTGTTCTGAGTCTGGGTCAATATGAACTCTGTCTGTTGTCAGTGTTTGTATTCTCGTAATGTACTTTACCCAAACTGGCATGGCGTGGACAAGGGGATTGCTACAAGGCAGAGTATGTTTCTTTTCTAACCAGTGCAGCATCGTCACAAGTAATCTGTCTTTATTTACCTTTAAACTTCCAAAGACTTTATCCAGTTTGTTTTTGTCACTGCTATTTCTAATAACAGTCTGCCTCCATTGCACCACACTCTAATTTGAAGAGTGATTTCATTTTGAAGGAATCTAGCAGGGAATGTGACGCTAATGAGATCTTCCATTAAGAAAATCCTCTCTTAATGACTGTGATGTGGCGAAATCTATTGTGAGCCATCCATAGAAGGTTCAACACTCTGATTCAGGGTGTGAAAACAGGACTAAGGTGGCAGGCATAAGCAATGATTTGAAAGTATGCAACTGTGCGGGGATGTTTCCCACTTAAAAGCAATCATTAAAATGCGTTTTGAGCCGGGCTCGATGGCTCATCCTGTCATCCCGCGCCTTTGGGAGGCTGAGGTGGGTGGATTACCTGAGCCCGCGGGTTCGAGACCCGCCTGGGCAGCGAGACCTCATCTCTACAATAAATAAAAAAACCAGTCGGGCATGGTAGCACATGTCTGTATTTCCAGCTACTTGGAAGGCTGAGGCGGAAGGATCACCGGAGCCCAGCAGGTCGAGGCTGCGGTGGCCGGGAGCGTCCACTGCACTCCAGTCTGGGTGACAGAGTGAGACTCCAACTAAAAAAAAAAATGCGTTTTGATGGTTTGAAAATGATATGGATGCTTCTGTTCTTATTGCTTTTAATGATGGTCAGCTGGGTGGGGAAAAGGGATATGGAGGTTGTCACCTTGTTCTCTAAATTGAGTGCTCATTATTTTGAAGAGAGAACCTTTTCTGGACAAATAGTATTATGCTTCAGGAGAGGCTATCACCTGCTGAGGTTTCGCTTATAGAATATCAAAGAACTTTGGGAGTCTTTGAAGTTTTCCTTGTATTGTAGAATGTGTCATTAGCATGTCAGTCTGTTCTGGTTGTTATAATAAAATACCATAAACTAAGTGGCTTAAATTAAAAAAAAAAGACAATATTTATTGCTCACAGTTCGGAAGATTGGGAAGTCCAAGAAAGGCTCTGACAAATTTGATGTCTGAAAGTCCACTTTCTGGTTCCTCAGAGTCACTGTAACCTCACATAGCTAAATAAGCAAGAGATGTCTCTGGGGTCTCTTTCCTAAGGGCAATAATACCATTCTTGAGGCTCCAACCTCATGAGCAGTCTGGTTGCGTCCCAAAAGCCCCACCTCCTAATGCCTTCACTTGGAGGCTAGGATTTCATCATGTGAATTTGAGGGCAACACAAAAGCATTCAGATCATAAAGTTTTAAGGTTCTTGGTGAAGGTTAGTTCCCTATCAGTAAAATGCATATCATTCTTCCTGCGCATGTTGAAGAAATACATAAATTATATATATATATATATATATATATATATTTTTTTTTTTTTTTTTTTTTTTTTTTCCCTTGAGTTGGAATTTCACTCTGTCGCCCAGACTGGAATGCAGTGGCCGCTCCCGGCCACCGCAGCCTCGACCTGCTGGGCTCCGGCGATCCTTCCGCCTCAGCCTTCGGAGTAGCCGGAATTACAGGTGCACGCCACCACGCCCGGCTGATTTTTTGATTTTATTGTAGAGATGAGGTCTCGCTGCCCAGGCGGGTCTCGAACCCGTGGGCTCAGGCAATCCACTCACCTCAGCCTCCCAAAGGCGCGGGATTACAGGCTGAGCCACCGAGCCCGGCGTAAATAATATTTTTATTAGGCTATTTAATTCAGTGGATCATTATCCACCTAAATTACAAATGTCTAAACATAGAATCATTTTCAATCTGCTTCCTTCATCATTCAACCAATGCCCAGGGATAGTTGTTTTATTTCATAAATATCCCTTGAAATTACCCCCTTCATAGTATTCCCTCTGGTCTTGTTTAGTTGAAGAGTCAGGCACATGCATGTAAGAACCAGATGAACATCATAAATGATAAAAGCAGAATTCCTGAGAAGTAATCGTCAGTGGTGAGAGCCTGGAAAATGAGATGAGATGTCCTCAATGGGGTACAGTTGGTCTCAGCTAAAGACAATGATTGACCTGTGCTCAGTATGTAAAAAACAAAACAAAACAAAAAAATCTGAAAAATGGATGTAGTTCACGGACTGCCAATTTGCAACATGTATATTTCGCCTTCACACCTTCCCTATGTGCTATGACAGTGGCTCCTGCTTTCAATCACGTTTGTGCCCATTCTCTATACTGACACCAAAAGTCGTGTTTCCAAAAGTTCAACAATAATCGTGTCACTCTTCTTTTTAAAAGCGACTTCCACATCACCACATTGTATACTGCATAAAGTTTAAAAGTCCAAATTCTCTACCATGACCTATAAGGGCTTCTTCTTGGATTCTGCCTCTTAATTTTTCAGTCTTCGTACTCACCACTGTCCCTCTCTCAACACATAACTTTAAACAAGTGCACCATGTTTCTGATGCCCCTGTGCTCATTCCCTCTGCCTGCAATTACTCCCTCTCCCTGAACTTGCTCCTCTCTTCCACACTGGCTAGGCTATCCTTCAGAGTAGCCTCAGAAAACAGCTCTCCTTAAATGCTTTCTGTGTACCACACCCGTCCATTCAAGTTTTCATTCTGTATCTGCCTACTTTGTTAATTAGCTTCTGTTCTCCTTTAGTGCACAGACTTTATCTGACTTTTTTTTTTTTTAACTTCTCAGTGTCTAGCACAGAGTTCACACATGGTACATGCCTTATAATTATATGTGGATCTGATTATTAACCCGGTGCCAACACACTTTTCATATTCTAGTATGAAGGTAGCAAGAAAGAGAATGATAAGTGTTTTTGTGGACATTTCTTGAAAGAACAAAATTATTTGGGGAGACATGAAAATATTTTATCTCCAAGGCAACGCACTTATTTTTTGATCCTTTAGGTCATATAAGGGCTATATGTTCTCAGATTCACTTTCTTCTAGAAATTTCTAATTTAATGTCCTCAAACAGAAAGCACTATTTAGGAAGGAGGGCAAAAATCCCATAAATCTCAGTTGTGGGTTGATTTCAGAAAACACTCATACATACAGTGTCACCCAACTGCTGACGGATAGGGCCATATCGGGCAGTATCTCCACTGGTTGTGTTTAATGGGCATTTATATGGAGTCTGGCTCATGAGGCTGTTGAAGCAATCTTCTCTTTATACTACACCAGGTATACGGTTCATAATTTTTTGACCTGTGTGATTTATGTGTCTGTTTTCCACAGCTTTTATTTTGATATCAGAAGTCATTCATCCTTCAAAGTCCTGCGGTTATAATGTTAACTGCCAACAACAGTGATTTGCAATTGGCATGAGAGTAGGCTTCAATCATTGTATAATAATTCTGATCTATCTTGGAATAATGACTTTTTTTGCTACTAAAATAGTCAAATCTAGAATTTCCTCTAACTCTTTAACAAAGATACATTCACTCCCTGATCTAGGCCTCAAAATTTATTTCCTTAGTTTTATATAAGTTCTTTTGTTGAAGACAATGTTTAAAAACCTTCTTTCCTACTGCTGAAGTACAATTAATAATCTAATTATTACTTCTATGAATTACTTTTTCTGAATTTGTGTAGACTACATATATTTCATAAGTAGGGAGGGGGAGAGCCAGCTATATCTCTTGTTGGCATCTAGCAACACATTTTATTTTTCATTTCTTTGTGTTTTACAAAGACACAATATTAAAGGCTGATTTCACGATAAACTGTGTAATTTCACTTGTGGGCTTTTATAATGACTATTGATATCATAGGAGCCTTTTAAAAAATTAGAGGCTTTTAAGGTCCCTAGGGAATAGTACATTGTGTGCGTAATTAATAGGAGTAGTACAATTCCTCACCTCAGTAGAAACTATGGTGGTGACTTTGGCATCATTTCATAAAAACTCAAATGAAATATTGCTAAAAAAATTATGGCTAGGGGTTTTGTTTGGAGTAGGTGTGAAGTGGGGGAAGATGACATAAAACAGAAATTATTGAGAAGAAAATCATCAGGAATATGTGGGTCAATCCAAGTATATGTTAGCTTATGTACTAAGACACTTGCACACCTCACTTATGAAACTGTTTGCGAATGGTTTATCAAGTCTCTGGGAAAACATTATCTACCACTTAGCTCATGTGCAAGTAATTCATTTTTCTTAATAGGGCTTTAGAGGGAAAAGGTCCAATATGTGTGGTGAGCTCCTCCTTCTACCCCGCAGTTTTCTCTAATTTTGAAAATATTCCAGGATTCTGGCTTCACTTTAAAAAATTAACGGGATGCAGAGAGACTCCTTTTTCTTAGAAAAGAGAAAATCCTAGGCACTGACTATCACTGAGGACCTTGATGTTTTTCAGGGAATGATGTACCTGGAAGAAAGACGGCTTGTTCATCGAGACTTGGCAGCCCGGAATGTCTTAGTGAAATCGCCAAACCATGTGAAAATCACAGACTTTGGGCTGGCCAGGCTCTTGGAAGGAGATGAAAAAGAATACAATGCAGATGGAGGAAAGGTGGGTACCTTTTTAGGAGGAATATTGCTTAAAGATATAATCTGATTCTATCCTTTTATCTCCTTAGATTTTAACCAAAAAGCCCGAGTCTTGGAGATTAAAATACCTCAGTTCGGCCATTTACCTTTTTTCTTGCCCAGAAAAAAAAAAAAATATGACCTATATTACCAGTCTCCATTACTCAAAAGTAGCTAAAATAAGGTAATGTTTGTCTGAACCCAGGTGGCCTTCACCTGAACCCAGGTCCACTGATGGGAAGTGGGAGGATCCTTAGAGATTCTAGAAATTAAACTTTAATACAGGACTGAAGAAACTGTCCCATCGGTCTTTAAAACCCTAGGACTGACTCTTAGAGAGAGACACTTGTCACTCGTAAATTAGAGGAAAACTTAGCTACTACTAAGAATCATGGTTCATCAGAAGGCTGATCACTTTGAATACAGCCCCCTCCTTGTCTATCTTTTCTGACTCTCTAGCCTCAGCTGCTGCCGGACAACTGTGTTCTTGCCTCTCACCCACTATATGGTCTTAGTACATACCTTGGTTACATATCTTATATTTTCTCCTTAACCCACTGTTTAGCTTAATTTTCTTGGCTAGCCAAGTAGGATAATCTTCATATGGAGGTCCCTCTAGCTTGACCTGGGGAAGCCTAGGGTGGGCAGGCCAAATGAAACCAACAACTTCAACCTGTGGTGACTCATAAGCTTACAATAACAAAAAAAGTTATTCATATGTCATCTAAATATGCTTATTGTATTACTTATTTATCATGACTGTCAAAATATATACTATAAATATTTTGTAATGATAGAAGCTTTCAAATACTTAACATTTATTTTTATCCTAAATTGTTATATGACTATGTATAATCAACCTTATCCCAAGGCAAAATCACACAAAATTTAAAAAGGAAAATCTTCAGTTTTGAGGAATTATCTGATTTTCCTTTGATTTATGAGCCTATTTTGCCTGTTTACTACCAAGTCGTAGTAGTTTGAGACCACAGCTTTGAAACGTACTATAAGACTGCCCAGAAGTTGAAGTCTATAAATCACAGGACTTCACTTGTCTTGAGAACATAAGATTTGAGACATAAGATTTGTCTAAAGCAAGATTCATTATAGCTTTAAATGCCTGCTAACCATTAAGTCTTTATCAAGCCACCTGTGATTTAAACTTACTTCTTTAACACAATGTCCGTAGTCCATAAAGTCCGCTAACTCCTTGCCTGTAGGGAAATTACTTCCAATGTGTCTTCTGTTCCCTTTCACTGAATACCATGATTCTGTCATAGAGTTACCTTGGTGTCACCTTGGTGAGCAGCCAGCCTCATGATTTCAAATGCCTATTTAGTTTTAAGCTTTCAACTGCAAAGTAGAAGTGTTTATCTTTATTCCATAGAATCTAATTATATTTCCAGCTATATAATGCTGCCCTTCATAGTTGAAACTCGTTCTGCTGACCCATCATCAGCAGGGTATGTGGGCTGAGTTGTTTCTCTTGTAGTGATGATAGATTTGTGCTGATCCTCTCACATTCTTTCATATACTGTAGTTCCTATTTTGAAAATGGGACATATTTTCAATACGGGCTGACCAAGAGGAGGGAGATCATTTCTATCTAGAAAACAATGCAAAACTAACTTTGGAATTCATGGTTTTAGGCATTTTAGTGACCAAATTATATGAGAAAAGAAGGCAAGGGCAAGTGTAGAAAGTATCCCTTGTGCCAGTAGCCCAAAATTTGTCTGAGGGTCAGAAACAATGACTGAAAATACAAAAAATCTCCATTAAAAAAAAATATGTATGTGTTTTTGAAAGCACATGTACTAGATGTTTAGATTTGACATTGCAAGTAATAATATTAAGAACTTAATTACTGAATGTTAATTAAGAACTGTAGAAAGCTATTCCTATTAATTATTGTACTTTTCATTGTTTATAAACCTTTAAAAAAGCATAATAAATCTTGAGGCTAATTCCCTTTTGAATTTTATAAATTTTAATTAACTTCTTTCCTTTTATTAAAAAATAACCCATATATTTAGTGATATCTTTACATACACAACCATGAAATGTATTTGAAGCCAGTTCAGAGATTCTCGTGTGGGAAATTAATATAGAAATGACTTTTTATGTAATTGCAAAACTTTTTATTTCTCTATAGATGCCAATTAAATGGATGGCTCTGGAGTGTATACATTATAGGAAGTTCACCCATCAGAGTGATGTTTGGAGCTATGGTAAATAAATCTTTCTTGTGAATTAAAGCTTTGAAGGCAAAAATAAATATGTTAAATTCATGAAAAATATCTTCAACTAAATTATGTATTGTGTTAGAATTCCTATTTATAAGTTTTATTTATAAAGTAATTAACTCTTTGTTTTTTCATTTAAAAAAGCAAATTTTTCTAAATAACAATGTTATCTGCCATTTTAGTTATTTCTTTGTTATTTAAAATGTAATATACTAATATATCTGCGGAAGGTTTTTTTTTTTTCATAAAGTGTGACTTGGTAGCAATTTGTCTACAATTTTGACAGGAAAAAAATCCAGCCAATTTCATAGAATTTCATAGCCTTGACTTGAAAACAACTCCAAATGCAACGAATGTTAAAACCAAAACAAAGGCAAATTTTTGTTTTTGTTTTGTTTTTATTATAAGAATTTCTGTTCTCTGGTAGAAAATAGAAATTATTGTCATAAAAGAACAATTACTGAGAGTAGTGAGAGTGAAGAACGTGAGGGGAGAGGTAAGAGAGAAGGCCGCTAATAGCAACATTAATTTTAATTTACAAACTACTTTCAAAGTAACAGAAATGTTGGAGAATGAATAATATGAACTGGAAAATGGTGATATTTATAATGAGAACATTTATTTCATAGTGTTTAACTTAATTGTTAAGATGAGCCACTGAGCATCAGTCTGACTGCTTACAACTTAAATCCAGTATTAGCAAGAAGGAGTCGACACTTTTTTAAAGTTTAAATATACTATAGAAACCTAACATTTGTTTTATGTTTTTATTTTTTAAGAACTCATTTATTTTAAAGATATGGGGTACAATTCAGGATTAGATAGATAACTGGTCATTGTACAGGTAAACTTTCGGTCTCTCTTTGGTCCCCACTTTACCTGGTTTGAGATCAGGCTTATTGATGTTGTGTTACTCTCCCACTCTCCCGTGGCAGTGTCCCACTACTATCAACCCCTTTCTTAAAGTATTATGATAATTGTTCAGGGTCCACTTATGAGTGAGAACATGGGGTATTCAGTTCTTTTTTCTGTGATAGATCACTGAGTATTATAGACTCTAAGTCCATTCATGTTGCTGCAAAGTTCATAATTTTATCGCTCTCTGTGGCTGCATAATATTCCATTGTGTATATATACTACGTAAGTATTTTTTAATCCAGTCCACTTTTGATGAGCAGCACGGTTGGTTCCATGTTTTTGCTATTGTGAATAGTGCTGCAATAAACATACTTTAGCAGGTATCTTTTTCATAAAATGGTTTGAGTTCCTCCAAGTATATTCCCAGAAGAGGAAGTGCTGGGTTGTATGGAAGGTTGATTTTTAGATCTTTTAGGAATCACCACACTGTTTTCCACATAGATTGTACTAGTTTACACTCTCGCCAACAGTGTAAAAGCTTTCCTTTTTCTTTGCATCCTCTAGTTGCAGCATTTGTCGTTTTTTAAGTTATTGGTGATGGCCATCCTGACTGGAGTTAGGTGGTATCTCAGTGTGACTTTGATTTGCATTTCTTTGATGATTAGTGAGACTGAACATTTTGTCACGTATCTGTTAGCTGCTCATATGTCTACTTTTGAGAAGTGCCTATTCATATCTTTTGCCCACTTTTTAATAGGACTGTTTGTTTTTTTCCTTTTGGCACATGTGAGTTTCTTGTAGATACTGGATGTTAGGCCTTCATCAGATGGCAAATATTTTTTCCTATTCTGTGGGCTGTCTCCCTGCTTTCTTGAAAATTTCTTTTGCTTTGCAGAAGCTTTTCAGTTTGATGAGGTCCCACTTGCCTATCTTACCTTTTATGGCATGGACATTTGTGATTTTGATCAGGAATTGGTTGCCTATCCCAGTTTTTGTAATGGTGTCTTTTGTGTTTTCTAAGGTTCTTATAGTTTGAGGTGTTATGTTAAGATTTTTGACCCATTTAGAGTTGTTTTTTGTGTATGGTGATAGGTGTGGGTCCTGTTTCATTCCACTGCACATGGTCAGTCAGTTTTCCCAGACCATTTGCTGAATAAGTTCTGCTCTCCCCAGTGGTTCTTGTGGAGGGAGGCTTTGTCGAAGATGAGTTGGTTGAGAAATTGAGGTTTTGCTTCCGGAATCTCTGTCCTGTGCCTTTGGTCTATATGCCTGTTTTTGTACCAATTCCAGTCTGTTTTGATTATTGTAACCTTATAGTAAAGTTTAAAGTCTGGAAGTGTGATTCCTCCTGCTTTGTTAATTTTGTTAAGGATTCTTTTGGCTATTCTTGGTCATTTATGTTTCTATATGAATTGTCATTTCCAGATCTGAGAAGAATGATATTGGTAATTTAATGGGCATTGTGCTGAATCTGTAGCTTACCATTGGTAGGATGAACATCTTAACAATGCTGATTCTTCCAATCCATGATCATGGAACATTTTTCCATTTGTTTGTGTCTTCATTGATTTATTTGAGCAGCAGTTTGTAGTTTTCATTGTAAAAGTCTTTCAATTCTCTGTTTAGGAAGATGCCAAGATATTTCATTTGTGTGTGTGTGTGTGTGTGTGTGTGTGTGTGTGTACCTGATGTGAATGGGATTGTGCTTTTTGTTTGGTTCTCTCCCTGTTTTTTGTTGGCATATAAGAATGCAACTGTCTTTTGCACATTGGTTTTGCCAAAGTCCTTTATCAGTGGAAGGAGGTTTTTGAAAGATTCTCTTGAGTTTTCAAGATATAGGATCATATTGTCAGCAAAGAGGGATAACATAACTTCCTCTTTTCCTAGTTGGATACCCTTGAATTCCTTTTCTTGTCTGATTGCTCTAGCTAGGACTACAAACACTATATTGAACAGAAGGAGTGACAGTGGGCAGCCTTGTCTTGTTCTAATTTCTGTCTGTTTAGCAATATGTTGATTGTGGGTTTATCATAGATGGACCTTACTATTTTGAGGTATGTTCCCTCTATGACTAAGTGTTCAATCGTTTTTATCAAGAAGGAATGGTAGATTTTATCAAAAGCTTCTTCTGCATCTAATGATATAATCATGTGGTTCTTGTTTTTACATCTGTTGATATATTGAATTACATTTATGGTCTCACGAATGTTGAACCAGCCCTAGGGATGAAGCCTACTTGTTCATGGTAGATAATTTTAAAGATGTGTTGTTGGATCAGATTTACTAGAATCTTGTCGATAATTTTTGCATCTGTGTTCACCAGGGATATTAGCCTGTTGTTTTCTTTCTTCATTGGATCTTTACCCATTTTGGATATCAATGTGGTGTTAGCTTCATAAAATGATTTGAGGAGAGTTCTGTTTTTCTCAATTGGCTGGAATACACTGGGTCAGATTGGTATCACCTCTTCCTTGTATGTTTTGTAGAATTTCACTGGAAATCTGTCTGGTGGGGCTTTTTTTTTTTTTTTGTAGGTAGTTTTCTTATGATGGAGTCAACTTTCTGGGTTGTTATTGGTCTATTAAGGGTCTCAGTGTCTTCTTGTTATAACCTTGGGAGGTTGTGTGGCATCAGAAAGTTCTTCATTTCACTTAGGTTTTCAAGTTTGTTTCCATACAGATGGGCATAGTAATCTTTGATAGCTTTTGGTATTTCTTTAGGGTCAGTTGTAACTTGATCTTTTGCATTTCTGATTGTGTTTATTTGGGTGTTTTCTCTCTTTTTCTTGGTCAATCTGTCTAAGCATTCGCCAATCTTTTTTATGTTTTCTAAGAACCAGCTTTCTGTATCGTTGATTTTTTTCTATGATATTTTTGTCTTCTATGTCCATTATTTGGGCTTTTACTTTGGTGATCTGTATTCATCTGCTGAAATTAGGGTTTTGGTGATTATGTCTTTCCAGCTTTTTTAGGTGATTTGTTAGGCTGTTAACTTGTGATCTTTCCATTTTTTAAATGTGTATTCCTAGAGACATCAATTCCCCTGTCAGTACTGATTTCATGGCATCCCAGAGGTTTTGGTAATGTGTGCTTATAGTTTCATTTGTTTCCAGGAATTTTTATTTTCTGTTTTGATTTCTGTTCTGTTTTGACCCAATAGTTATTCAGCATCATGCAGTTTAGTGTCCATGTCTTTGTGGGTTTGTGGGAATTTTGTTGTTGTTGATATTTGATTCTTATTCTACTGTAGTCTGAGAAATTACATGACAGTATTTCAATCTTATGAAATGTATTGATGTTTGATTTATAGCCAAGGTTATGGTTGATTTTGGTGTACATCCCATGTGGTGATAATTAGAATGTATTTTCTATGGTTGTTGGGTTGAGTGTTCTGTAGGTATCTATTAAGCTCATTTGCTCAAGTGTCAAGTTGAGGTTGCAAATCTCTTTGTTGAGATTTTTCCCTTGAAGATCTACCTAGGTTTGTTAGTGGGGTATTTGAGTGCCGAAGTATGATAGTATTAGAATTAATATCTTTTTTAGTTTATTTAGTAGCTGTTTTATAAAAACTGGTGCTGCTATGTTGAGTAGTTAGGACAGATATTTCTTGTTGATGAATTGAGCCTTCTATCATTATGTAGCGTTCTTCTGTATCTTTTAATTTTTGATAGCTTAAAGGTTGTTTTGTGTGATATTAAGATTGTGACTACCACCTTCTTTTGTGTTCTGTTTGCCTGAAAATTTGGTTTCCATCCTCTAACTTTGAGTCTGTGAGTGTCCATTCTAGTGAGATGTGTCTCCTGGAGACATTGTATTGCTGGGTCATGTTTTTTTAAATCCAGTTTGCCATTCGATATCTTTTCAATGGTCCATCTAGTCCATTCACATTCAGGTTGACTGTTGAGATGTGAGAGTTAATCCCTGTCATGAGACTCTCATAGAGCTTTATTTTGTTGTTTGTTTGTTAATCTGTCTGTTGGTTTGGTTTTTTTTTTATTTTTGGGTTGATATATGTGTGTGTTCACAATTTTGCAGTCACGAGGCATGCTGTGTTGGTTCTCTGTATTCCTGCATTCTTGGGAAGAGCATGCCCATATTTTTTTTCTTTCTTTTGTGCTTACGACCTTA